GTGACATGGCACCCACTGACCTGCTGCCTTCTGTGATGGGGTGGCCACCACCCCTGTGTCAGTGCCCAGAGGTGACGTGTGGCCCAGCCAGTTTATCATCCCCCTGTCGTCGTCTTCCAACACAGGGCTCTGGGGGTCCCAAGGCCCATCATTGGTGGTGAAGAACGTGGCGAAGAAGGCATTAAATGTCTCCGCTTTGATGATGTCCCTATTTGTGAGATGACCGACCTCATCAGGTGCTGGACCAATTTTGTCTCCAATCCTCCTTTTTTTCTTAAGATATTGAATACAGCTCTTTTTGTTGTCCTTGACGCTGCTGGACAGCTTGAACGCTCATTGAGCTTTGGCTGCAGGAGCAGCACCTCCTTAGTCCTCCTGTGTCACCTGTTCTTGCTCCCAATGTCTGGACACGTTCACAGAAGCTCATTAAAGGCAGAAGTTTAATTATATCAGACATGCCTGGGGAGCAGGTTGTCATAGAATCAATAACAGAATCATAGAATCATTAAGATTGGAAAAGACCTCAAGGATCATCAAGTCCAGCCGTCAACCCAACACAACCCAACCCACTAACCCATGTCCCGAAGCACCACATCGACACGTTTCCTGAACCCCTCCAGGGATGGTGCCTCCACCACTGCCCTGGGCAGCCTGTTCCAATGCCTGAGCACTCTTGCAGTGAAGACATTTTTCCTATTTTTTCTAATAAAGAAATTTTTTCTAATATTTTTTCTAAATTTTTTGTCTTTGGGCCACAATGAATTGCAGCCATCTTCTGTGTGCTTGGCATTTGGCGGTGCTGGGGATGTTCCCCTCAGCCCTAGTTCCTTGCTGGGCTGCGAAAAAGAGTAAGCAAAATAAAGTGTAAATGCTCGCTTGATTTAATCTGCTTATCTGCATATGAACACTTCCTTTTCTGCCACCCCAACCACTGTGCAGGCAGAACCGGAGCAGCTAACCCCACTGTGGTGCTGCTGACGCCGAGAGCTGCCCTACGCCCAAGGTAGGGGCTTTGCCAGAGCCAGGGGAGAAGGGGGGGGGGGGACAGCAGGGCATTGGGGGCTTGCTGGGGCACCAAGCTGCTCCCCACAAAGGCAAAATCCACCCGAAGTGACCCCCACACCCTGCCATTTCCGGAGGGTGCAGTGAGGGAACCATGCCCTGTCCTGCTCAGCGGCGGTGGGCATGGCATTAGGCATTGCCAGGCTGTGTCAGGCAGCAGGGGAGGTTGGGCCAAGCGCCCCGGGGATCTGAGGTTTACGTGGTGAGAATTAAAAGTGTTATTTATTGCAAAACATCCTAAAAGAGCTGTGGTAGCCGTCCCTCGCTGGGGTCAGAGGGCAGCCTGTGCAGGCAGCTGCCCAATGCACTGCGCACTGCGCCGCTGCTCCTTGCCCTGGGAGGCTCCAGCTGTGCTGGCCATCGCCAGCCTCAGCGCCTCGAAACATCAATCCGGTCGCTGCATCCACAATAAAACCATTTGTGTATCAGGGTTGCACCCTGGCACCGTTGGACTCACAGCCTCTCTCCCTGGCTGTTTTGGTGCCAACAGCATTACCGTGGCAGGTGTTGCTGAGTGGCAATGGGTGCGGTGTTGCAATGGATGCAAATCTTGCTGCCAGCCACCTTCCCCCCACCCTGCGCTGGGAACGTTTTCCCCTCCCCAGCTCAGTGCTCAGCCATGGCCAGCAAGCCATAGCACCACAGGAGAGCATGCCGGCGACCCTTCTAGCTTGCAGGCTGCTTGCCAGGGATTTGCAACCACGGGTTGGGATGGCAGCAAGGTCCGGGTCCTGATGGTGGAAGGGGGGAAAGCAGAAGCCTTGCCCCTGGGGTTTTACAGCCTGAATGGTCAAACGGATGCAAAGGACATCCTGCACCCTGGTTGCTGCAGCAAACACACTCCTCCTCACCCCACACTCACATCCGCCGCTGGTGCAGCCGCTGTGTGCTTCCAGGCTGTGGTTTTGCTGCCACGATGGCTTCCGTGGGGCTTGGCTGCTGTGGGTGGGGGAAAGCTGCCAGGATCCTGTCTGGCCCTCAGCCGGTGTGTGGGAAAGGGCCAAGGTCCTGGGGGATGTGGGTGGGGGCTCTGGCGAGCTGCTGAGGTCCTGGGTGGTTTGCAGGAGAGGACCACAGCAATGCCCACCCCAGCACTCACCGCCCTCGTCCTCTGCCTCACCACCTCCATCCTGCAAGCTCAAGGTAGGGACGTCTCCCATCCCAGTGTTGGGCTGCATGCTTTCAGGGCCATCTGGGGCTCCCTGGGCTGGGGCAGGCTGGGGAGCAGGGCAGGGTGCTGTGTGCCAAGGCTCAGCCTCCGAAACAGCTCCGTCAGAGCTGGAGGAGATGCAGAGCAATGAGGACGCCCTGGAGAAGGAGCTGCTG